GTTAGTCTTACCTCCTCATAAAGTATATAAGCTCAAGGACCTGCATTAAACTTCCTTTGAATTCCTATAATCCTTAAATGATAACATAATTTAATACAGTAATCAATGTAAAATACTGAGTATCAACTATATTCAAGTCACTGTGCTAGGCAGTGAAAATACCTGATCAAATTTTCACAAGAATAATTTTGAAATTACTTAGAAAGGGATAAGCAACAAATACATGAATTTAATAAAATATATGGTCAATTAGCTAAATGCAGTGAACCCAGCAATTTTTAGAAATATTCTGTTGATATTTCTCTATCAGAAATTAGAGGAATTGTTAAGCCAAGTCTAATCTCAGAAGAATGTGCTTTATAAAGTTGAAGAGATGGGAAATTTGGAAGATTGTAATCATGACATGATAGCATTCCTGATAATAAGAAAAGAACATTGGGCACAGTAAAAGAACACTGAGCACAGTAAGATATGTACTCTGAAAAGTTCCTAGAAAAGATAAGCAGGACCACAAAACGGAAAATTTTAAAAGGGAAGATGACTCAGGAAGGTTGTAGGCTCACAAGTGAATATGACACATTCAGTCATAAATGACTGCCTCCTAAGAAGCTGTCTTATAAACATTTGAGGGCATGGCAAAATCGGAATAAAAGAAATCCATCACTGTGAGGCATGTTACTTGCTCTTCCCATTTGACCACCTACTGTTCCTACTATACAAAAACCTGGGCTCATCCTATGAAATTACAGTCCAATTTTGATCAGCGCTCGAGGATTTCAAGTGGAACAGCATTTCTCTGGCTAAAATATCACAACCTGTATTAATGACATTGCCACAAATTTCCTCTTGCAATCTAATTAGAAAGCAAAACACTACTAAATACAATGTGTGTGTGTGTGTGTGTGTGTACACATACACTATATATATGCTGTGTATATATTCAAGCAAGTAATGGTAAATGTAAGATATAAAAACTTTTAATAAGCCAATCAAGTGACCTAGTAGTAACACCGTGACGATGCCACAATTTATCCAACACTGAGACTTGCTCTTAAAGCATCTTACACTTATTTAGTTAATAGAAATTCTTCTTCCACTGATAAATATCAGGTATAAAGCTGTAATTCTTTTAATATTTGAATCTTTTATAAAGGTGGATTATTCTTCTAGTCAAGGATAGAGTATGAAGACTTTGTAACACCTTTTAAAACCACCACTACTCTAAACATATTAACCTATATGTGTATGATTCCTGCAGATCAGTTGCAATGGGGGTGTCCAAGCTTCCCCACATCAAATAGCAATTCTTGGACCCCAGCAGGGTGTTTGAGAATATAACTCAACTGCCTCATTGTCTACTCAGAGAGAGCATCAAATCCCACAGGTTAAGCAGCTCAGTTTTCCAAGACGTCCCTCTGTGTGACTCACAAATTGTAAGACCTGTGCTTTCGACCGACTGGCAATAGATCAGAGATTTCCAGGTCACCCTCCTCAGGTTTGATTAATCTGCTAGAGCAGCTCACTGAACTCAGGAAATCCATTTACTCTCTAGGTCAATGATTTATTATAAGGGATATTATTCAAGATCAAGCAGATGGAAGAGACAACTAGCACAAGGCATGGGGAAAAGTCTAAGAATTTCCATGCACCCTCTGGGTGAATTATTCTTCCAAAATGTTCATGTTTACTACCCCCTATGTTCTCTAAGGCCCTCCCTCTTGGATTTTTGTGGGTGCCTGCTTACTTCCTTATGCAGACATAAGTGATTAAGTCATGGGCCATTGGCAACAGAACTCAACCTCTAACTCATCACTCCTTCCAGCAGGTCAGAGGGTAAGACTGTTAGTTCCAATCCTCTAATCACAAGACTAGTTTCCTCACCAGCCTCAGGTGCTTCCCTAAAATGTCACTTCATTAACATAATGAGACATCTTTATCACTATTAACACTTAGGAAAATACAAGGTGTTGGGGAGCTGTGATATGAAGACCAAATAGGTTTAAGAAATATATTTGTCATCTGGATAACCAAATACATATTTCTTAAAATTCACAATAATGTACCACATCAACAGATATTTAGGAAAAAATTCACTGTATCTTGCAAAATAAAATTGTTTTTAGACATCATTAAATAAAGGAAACTACTTTTCATTGTATAGTGATTATTCTGAAAAAGTATTATCAGATCAGACAAAAACCAAAATACATTAAAAAAATAAGCGAATGCTTTAGATAGTCCATATTACCAATCTTTAAACTGTCAATAAACCAAAAATTGCTTACTGAACGTTGTAAAATCATAACCCAACTAGCAGCAATCAATATGCTAGAACTAAATATAGAGAACATTTAAAAATAGGCAGTAGTCCAGTAGGAAAGAGTCTTCTTAAGTATTCCTAAAATATAAATTGTGTGGTCAGTAGCTAGTCACTAAGCAGCTTCACAGACCAATTTACCATTTATCTATTTTCTGACCAGATAAGGCATTTATAGGTACTAATATATGAAATATACAGTGCATTTACTCTTATACAGTACTATCGCTTATACTGAAAATGTCTACACATTTATAGGAATATTTAAGAAGTATTTCATCTTTCTATGATACTTTCATTAAAAGGCAGTCCTGACATTATTGACTTAAAAGTGAAAGCTAAAACTGTAAGACTTCTAAAAGAGGAGAAAAAAATTTGCAATCTTGTGGTAGGTAAATATTTCATGTATAGGACATAAAAGAGCATGAATCATTAAAGAAAAACTCATTAGTTGTCTTTTGACATAATGAAGTAAAAAAATTGTTCATAAGACATTACTTAAAAAAAGAAAAAGCAAATTATATTGTGAGAAAATATTTGTAAACCACAGATTTGATAAAGGACTTTGGTCCTTTACAGGCAAAGGGAGGGGGCACTTTTCCCTGATTGAGAACCATTTTTATAAATAAGTTTTGTCTGCCTTAAAGTTTCATATAAATGCAATCATGGAGCATATATTCTTTTCTGTCTGACTTCAGCACAATGTTTTTGAAATTCATCCACCTTTTCCTTTGTATTAGTAGTTCATTCTTTTTTGGTTTATCCATTCATTTGAGGTTGGGCATTTGTGTTTTTCCAGTTTTGGACTATAGGAATAAAGCTGCCAAGAACATGTTTGTACAAATTTTTCGATGAACACGTTTTCATTTCTTTTGGGTAATACCTAGCAATAGAATTGCTGGGTCATACATACAGTTAATATTACATTTATAAGACACAAACTGTTTTCCAAAGTGGTTATACCAGTGAAAATTCCCATCACCAGTGTATTAGAGTTGCAATTTACATACATTCCTCCAACACTTAGTATTTTCAGGCTTTTTATTTAACTCATCCTAGTAAGAGTGCTGTGGTATATCATTGTGGTTTTAATTTTAATTTCCCTGAGGATCAGAGATGCAGAGCTCCTTTTCCTGAACATTTTACCATTAGCATAATTTTATTTTTGCCATTAGCTTATCTTCTTTGGTGCACTGTGTGTTCACATCGGGTGTTTTTATTGAAAGCACTACAATGAGAGAGAGCCAAGTAACTAAGTTAAGTCTGGAGAGTGTGGCAAGCATTTGCAAAGATGATATTGGAGCTGGGGTCTTGAAGGAGGTTAAGCTATAAATAAATATGTATACTTACTGGGAAAAATTCTATATTAGATAGGGGGATCTACTGAGGATGTACTTTGATAGAAAATGCACTCTGAACTTTTGCTCAATCTGAGTTTCTCAACATAAATCTCTGTTACCACTTAAAGGTACAGAAACAGGGCCTCCCTGGTGCACAAGGAGTTGAGCACCGCACTATGAAGTGGTCCGTAGCCTCCGCAGCACATGTTCAATCCCAGCCAGCCAGGGAGCTACCCACATGGCGCAGCAGACCTTTCCTGTCTTGCCAGCTGCTCCCCTTAGCAGTGTATTTCAGTCAATCTGCTTGTTCTGTTCCTCACTCTGTCTCTGGTGAATCCTCTCATACACACACCCCCACCCCCATCTCTGGCCTGTGTCCCAGCTCTCCTATGCAAAAATAAATCTTTAAAAAAAAAAAATAAAGTACAGAAACAAAAAATGATCAATTTTAATACAATCTTTAAATTACATATTTAACTTATGTTAGTAAACTCCACATGTACTATATACATATGTCATATATAACAACACACAAAAACACCTCACACCAGCATAAGGGAAAAATCTAGGATGTCTCCCAAAAGGGGACACGGGGAACCCAGCATACATCTTTACAGTAAGTTCAAAAACCCTAAGTAACGTCATAAATAGAAGACGATTGGGGTAAAGGATTACGCTGAACTTCTAAAAATGATTGCAAGGCAAGAAGCAAATTTCTACCTTATGCAGAGACGGGACCAGGCGGCACACTGCAGACGGAGCTTGCCTACCCTGCTCCTAACAGTGCCTGTCATTTTGGAAACTACTGAAATGCAGGCATCGAAATTGAACGACACAGACCTCATTCACACAGAAAACTCAATTTTTGAGTGAGAAAGTCAACCCAAAGACAAAGAGAGGGTCTTCAGCGGACCTGACTTTGCTGAGAAACTACACTTCCCATTCCTTCCTCTCTCGACTTCTAAGCAAGGAATTGCAGCAAGCCGGTTCCGAGAAACACTATTTCCTGGGGGTGCTGATTCAGGAAGGTGGAGGAGAAGGAACCACGATGAACGCGACAAGCTGGTTCACCAGGGAACCTTCTGAGTTCCGACAGTCAGTGACCTGGAAACTCTGGCGATTTTATAAACCCAGACCCCAAAGGGGAGCCGGGAGCAAACGTCAACTCAGGCCAGGGCTGGAGGCACGCAGGGGACAGTCTCGCCAGATCCTCTGCGCCCACCTCAAAGACTTCGCCCCCCGCCCCTTCTCTCGAAAACGCCCCAATTCTCAGAAACACCCCCTTCCCCCACAAAACTGCAACCCCAACAACCCCGACGGGGCGACAGGCTGCGGTCACTTACTGAGCTGTCCCCCGCCCGACGTCGTGCTGGGCTCCCGGCCTCCCAGGCCTCCGACGCCCGCGGCTCCAGGGATGCCCGGCGCCCCCATCCCCGGCGGGGTCCCACTCTGCCGCTCGAAGTTGCCCGGGTTGGAGAAGTAGTCGCGCAGCCGAGGCAGCTCGCGGCCGCTCTCCAGCAGCTCGGTGTGCAGCTCCAGGGCTGTCAGCAGGTACTGATCGCGCAGCAGCTGAGCGGCGATCGCGTCAATCGACAACCGGGCCGGGGGCTCCCCAGGGCCCCCCAGGGCCCCCGCGGCCGCCGACGCCTCCCCCGGGAGCCCCGGCCGCGCGCCGCCGCCCAAGGCCACGGGGTCCTGGGGCGACAGCGAGTCCGCAGAGCCGGGATCCAGGCCGCTCCCGGCGCCCAGCCGGAGTCCCGCCCGCCGCTCCTCGCTCGCCGCCACCTCGTCGTCGTCCTCGTCGGAGTCGCTGAGGAACGGGTTCACGCCGCCGCCGCTGCCCCCGGGCGCCATGGCCGCCATCTTATCCAGTCAGGCGTGTGGGCGCCTCCCTCGCCGGCTGACAGGCCGCGGCCTGAATCCCCCCCGAGTCTCAGCCGGCACCGAGCGCCTCCACAGCCCGGGCCCGGGCCGGGCCGCCCCCCGCCTCCCCACCAGGGGACCAGGCGCGGGCGCGGGCGCAGAGGACCCCGAGCAGCCGCGGCCGCCGCTCCAACCGCTGCTGCACCAGCAGCCCAGCTCTGCAGGCGTCTTCCTGGTCCCCAATCTCGCGAGAAGCCGAGCAGGCCCCGCCCCCGCTCCCCGCCTGAGCCCGTCTCCGCCCCGCCCACTCCCAGCGCCAACGAGCAAAGATTGAAGGCCCCGCTCCCCGCTCAAAGGAAAACCCCGCCCCTGCTCCTGCATGATTGGCCGGAGCACAGGACTGGCATGGCGGAGGCGGGGCCTGGAGTTATCGCGAGAGCTGCGGCCGGACAGGTAGGTGCCGGGGGCGTTCCGCGCTTGGGGGTCCAGGGGGCCGACTCGGGGCTGCGGGCTCTGGGGTCGCGGGGAGGGGCCGCAGGCCGGGGTCCTGCCTTCGCCCTGCAGCGGCCACCCCCAAGATCGGGCGGGCCCGAGGGGACCCCGGGAACGGCCGGCCGCGCCCGCCCCGGCGCCTGAGCCCGCCCGCTCCTCCGCGGGGCCCGGGCCGGCGGCCGGATTCGCCCTCCCCGCTCTCCCCGGGCTGCCCGCCCGCCTGCGGCTCGGCCCGGCGCGGGCACCGCACGCCCCTGCGTGTCCGGGGGCGCCGTCCCGCTCCGAGGGAAGCGCGGGGGCGACAGTGTGTTAAATGCGGGGGGGTGGGTGCTGCGCCCCGGAGTTGGCTGTTTGTCCGGCAGAGGCAGTCGGACAGTCCCACGTGCAGGCAGATGCGAACTTGACTTTGTGACTATCCCGATTGCCTCTGCTTGGATAAATAAAAATACTTTCAACGCTTAGTGTTATAGGGCAGCCCCGATAATGAACGGGTTCCTGGCTGTGGGTCCTCACCCGCGCGCTAAAAAGGGGCTTATGAATACTCCACTACAGGTACACACAAAAGGTTCATAAAAGGTTTATTTACAAGGGAAAAGGAAATAAGGAAAATGGACAACTCAGGGAGAAAATAGGGAAATAAAGTCTTTAATGCGTCCTACCCGATCTGCCGACCTGGAAACCCAAAAAGCACTTTCCGAGCTGGCCAGAGGCTACGAGCTGGCGGAGAGCCAAAATGGGGGAACCCCCAAAGCCCACGTGTCTGGTTTTATACCAACCTGGCTGCTTAACCCCACCCTCAGGTCCCAGCCACCTTCCCTTGGGTGGTGATGGGATTTGGAGTTCCCAGGGTCTTTGGCTTTGGCCTGGGGTGGGGGTGGAGTCCACAAAGCCTGTATGGAATTAGCTTTAGGACAGCCTTTTCCCCCTTACATTAGTAGTAACAATGTCCCCCTCTCGCTCCCTCCCCCCAGCCCCCAAATATGCAAAACCAAAGCAAACCAAAGTCTCAAGCAAATGAAAACTGGTTTGCTGAGTCTGGGTAAACTGAAATTAATGCAAACCATTTGCTTGAATCCACTTGCCTCTTCTTGGATAAATAGCAAACTCTCAGGGCTCAGGAAGCACCAGCATTTAATACACACGTTTAATACACACATTATAGGTCCTTCAAAATAGCTGCTGTCCCATCAGTAGAAAGATAAATGAATTTGAGACTGGAGACGTTTGATGACCTGGTCGAGTCCACCATGCCAATGAGTATTCAAAGGAGCTAAAAGATTGTGCTTATCAGGTAGAAGAGCCTGAAGTTCATAGCCCAGTTCTACCAATTATTTGCTGTGACTTCTCTCAGCCTTAACATTCATCTGTCAAAGCCATACTGAAGGTATACAGAATTAGAAATGTGCTTGTCATACTGCCTGGTACCTCCTACACAATAAATGTCATTATTGTAGTAATTTATCAATTAATACAGCATTAGTTTATATTGAGAATATTTGACAGGTTTTAAAAAATAAAACAAGTATCAATAGCAACTCAGGGTAGGAAAAGCAATTAAGTCCGATCCCCGGCCACCTACGAGGGTCCCACATGGCGCGCAGACCTCTCCTGCCGCCCGCTGCTCCCCTCAGCAGTGTACTTCGTCAGTCTGCCTGTTCTGTTCCCCGCTCTGGCTCTGGTGAATTCTCTCACCCTCACACGCTTCTGACTGTACCCAGTGCTTGTACAAATAAATAAATCTTAAAAAACAAACAAACAAACAAGGGATTCTCTTTAAGGTCTGAATATAAAATATAAATTGAAAATAGATTTAAATTATGTTTCCTCAGGGCTGTGAGAAATTGGATATAGAAATTCTTCTATGATTGCTTTTCTATGCAAATCTGTACTTCATATCCTATAATCATGGACTTGTTTATATGACTCTCCAAGCTCATAACACACATCAACTGACCAATCTTCTCAGTAAGTACTTTTTTCCACAATACAGAGAGCTTTACCTATCAAAATTTTTTAAGAAGTAGCATATACTGGAGTATTAATTATTACTGATCTGTACTTATAATAATTTATTATTAATATTGTTGGGAAGTTTTCTATTTATAGGAGTTACATTAATCTAGGTCTATACAGGTAATGTTTCATTGAATAATCAGGATAGTCATTAAGGCATGTATCTTAACTATGAAAATGGAAAAGATCGCCTTTTTTCAAACATTTAAATCATTTCAGTAGGGCCTCCTGGGTGGTGCAGGTGGTTGAGCACCACACTGTGAAGCTCTCTGCAGCCTCTACAGCGCCTGTTTGATCCTGCCGGGCTGGGCGAGGGTCCCACCTGGCGCGGCAGACCTCTCCTGTCTCCCCGCTGCTCCCCTCAGCAATGTATTTCAGTCAGTCTTCCTGTTCTGTTCCCCGCTCTGTCTCTGGTGAATCCTCTCACTCTCCCACACATCTGGCCTGTACCCTGGTTCTTGTATGTATAAATAAATAAATCCTCTCACCCTCCCGCGCATCTTGTTTTTTACTTTTTGATCTTATGTTAATTTTATGTATTTAAATTTATTATAAATAATTTATTGATGCTGATTGCCTATTTTGGTATACTTCTGTTTATTTTTATTGAGGTAAGATTGGTTTACAATACTGTGGCACTGAGGGGAGTAGTTTCACACTTGTGCAGGTATGTGTGACCACACCACACCATACCTACCACCAAGCTAACTGCCTCTTATACTTGACCTTTTTCTTTTTTGCTTGAGTGCACTTTTATCATGTGTTTGATTTCAGTATTATCTCTTATTAAAAAATGTTTGTTGTTACCACAACAAATGAAAATGACCTAAGATCAACAGTACTTTAAAGTATATATTCAATTTACTTGCAGTCTTCAAAAAATGAGAAAGTATGTGTCAATGTATTAAAGTTTACCTATATTTAATTCTGTCCCCTCTTTCAGTTTTTTTGAAGATTAAGTACTTGTGCTGGATATGATGCTCTTCTTTATTTTGGGACTGTTCGTACATTGTGTGTTCTTCGCCTCCATCTTTGACATTTACTTTACATCTCCTTTGGTTCATGGAATGACTCCTCAGTTTACACCATTGCCTCCTCCAGCCAGAAGATTAGTTCTTTTTGTTGCTGATGGCCTGCGAGCAGATAAAATTTATGAATTAGATGAAAATGGAAATTCTAGAGCACCATTTATTAGGTAAGCATGTCAACTGGTATGAAGACATCTCTGGAAAATACTCTGATTCTACTTATCTCACATTAGGCACAAGGATAATAATGAGAAGGAACAGGGTTAAAGACGCAACCTATTGAAGCATACCGTAGACACTGCAGCATGAGTTCGATCCCAGCCAGGGAGCTACCCACATGGGGCAGCAGACGCTGCTCCCCTCAGCAGTGTATTTCAGTCCACCCACATGTTCTGTTCCCCACACTGTCTCTGGTGAATCCTCTCATCCCTCTCACCTCTGGCCTGTACCCCTGCTCTTGTATGCATAAATAAATGTTTTTAAAAAAACCCTGTTAATTTTTTAAAATAACATAACGACTAGCATAAATATTAATGAACTATTAATTATAATTGTGATTAACTAGCAGATATAGACTTCAACTTAAGATACATCTTTTATAAGATACATAAAACTCTTCCAAGTCTGTATCACTGTTCATTATAATTTTAGATTCTCTCTTTTTTTTTTTGCTTTTTTAAACTGCTTTATTAACTTCACAATATATAATGAGCTTTTTCCCATGCAATAGGTAAAATTCCTCTGCTAACAAAATCTTACAGGCTGGCTGAAAAACACAACATTCAACTCTAAGTTGGTAGTAAGAGACCCACCAGAAATTAATGACATCAAAAGGTTTACAACAAAGGTACATCACAAACATGTAAGTTTAGGAAGCAGGCATGTCTCCCCATTAGCTTCAGGCGAAACAACAGGATTCAAGGCATAAGGCAAAACTCATCATGATGGTCTTGGCGAGGGGGCTCTGTGCTAACTGCGCGCAGACTCTGACTGGACTGCTTTTCCCTCAGCTTTTCCATCAGCTGCCTCACCTCCTCCCCAGTCCTTTCCATATTCTCCTCTCTCACCCTCGCCTGTGGCTCTCCAAGCTTCTCAATCACTGCCCATCTATACTGCTGGATGGGCTGCCGGGCGTGGGACCGCCTATGGCTTCCTCTAGGCAAAGAATTTTCACCAGCTTCCAAAGGGAGGGCCAAGGGCTCTCCTTTATTAGGGTCGTGCTCCTTTTCCTCCTTTTTCTCATGCCCCGCGTTGGTATTTTCCATGTTGAGATCTTTTGCCACTTGTTCCTCTTTGGACTCCATTATCCTGGGCCTAGCCTTGCTGTCTCCTCGCGATTCACGCTGTGAGGTGCGCTGTGCCGCTTGCGCCAGCAGACCTGCTCTGCGCTCCCCGGCCGGATGCCAGCCCGCCATGCAGTTGCCTTAGAGCTCCGGGTCTATGTGAGAGCCCCCAGTCACCGCAGAGCTCACCCTCCTCCCCACCCCACCGCACCCCACCCCCATAATTTTAGATTCTCTTAAGTGACTTTGAAAAGACATGTTTAATGTTTGAACTTATGGGGATTCTGCAAACAATTGCTCTTTTCCCAATTAGTAGCAAGCTCCTCAAAAGCCTTTTATGTTTTGAAGTATTTAAAATTCAAATTCAAGTGGAAATTTATCTAAAATATTCCATCTTTCCCTGTACCCATCTGTCATCATCACCCATCGTCATTCTATTTATCCTGTTTTATTTTCCCTTATAGTACTTAGCCTGTGCAAGTTCCTTGAAGTCTGGGGTTTTGCTTTGCACACACCTATCTCTTAATTCCTAGAACATAGTCGGTGATTAATAAATATTTGTTGATTCCCAGAAGAATGAATAGACTTGAATTTTATGTTGAATTTCCAAAAATAAATTTATGGTGGCTCAAAGAATTCCATAATAAAGGATTAAAAAATGAACAACTCAGGGCAATTTAGGAAAATCTGAGTAGGAAAATAGATCAAGTCAGGATTAAGTTCAGTATTCACAAATGTATAACAAATTCCTACAAATTTGTGGGATATAATTGGGTGATTTCAAAAATTTAAGGGCTATATTTAGGTGGATTTCTTAGTTGCCAAAGAAAGTTAAAAAATGCAGGCCATTGAAAAATTAACAAGATGAAAATATACTGGTTGTTAAGGAAGAGGCAAGCTTTTCTGGCAGCCCTGGTTTCTCTTATGGGTGTTTTATTGTGGCCCCAAGGCTGCCACAGGGGATGTGCCTTGTGTTGTATTCTGTTGTGTGCTTACAGTTTCAGGAATCTTCTGGTTCATTCTAAATCTGTTTTTGAAAGGTTCTATTTGTTCCAGTCTTCATATTTTAAAAAATTGATCTGAATTGATCAAAATGCTTTAAAACAGAGGTATCCAAATTTCTTGAGAACTCCCTTTGTGTTTGAGCTCAGTTTTCATTATATAACTGAAGAAGTTGAACAATATTTATCCTTTAATATGTGGGTTAGTGGGGGCCTCCCCTGGTTGCACCGGCAGTTGAGCGCAGCGCTGTGAAGCTGTCTGCAGCCTCTGTAGCACTGGTTCAATCCCTTCCATCCTGGCTGGCTGGGGAGATACCTGCATGGTGCAGCAGACCTCTCCTGCCTCGCCTGCTGCTCCCCTCAGCAATGTATTTCAGTCAGTCTGCCTGTTCTGGTCCCTGTTCTGTCTCTGGTGAATACTCTCACCCTCCTGCACAGCTGGCCTGTACCCCGGTTCTTGTATGCATGAATAAATAAATCTTTAAGAAAAAATGTGGGTTAGTGGTTTTATAGCCTTTTACTTACTATGTATGTGTTTTATACAAAATACCTTTATTATGAGGTAAATCAGTATTAAAAGTATCTAAACTAGTACTTACATTTTTCTGCAGAGCTTTTCAGAGTCAAGCATTTATTTTGAAAATAAAAACACTGCAGTGTTTCACAACTTGTTGCTATGCTGGCCTTCTACCTGCAAGGACATGGTGGTGGCTTTGCTTTCTTCTCCACATCTAATATGAATCATTGTGATACAACTGAAGAATATTGATACATTTTAGCAAAAGAAACATATTGCCTGTTTTAATCTCAAATGGAGCAATATAGTTTTACTTCTAACAGGAGTGTAGCCATTTTCCTTTCCTCAATTTTTTATTTGTTTTTTAAAAAATAATCATTTATGCATACAAGAGCTGGGGTACAGGCCAGAGGTGTGGGGGGGGGGGTTTGAGCGGATTCACCAGAGACAGAGTGGGGAACAGAACAGAGTGGGGAACAGAACAGGCAAACTGACTGAAATACACTGCTGAGGGGAGGAGCGGGTGAATCAGGAAAGGTCTGCTGTGCCATGTGGGTAGCTCCCTGACCACCTGGGGATTGAACTCATACTGCAGAGGCTGCAGACAGCTTTATAGGTTGTGTCTTAACCCCTTGTGCCACTGGGGAGGTCTCCTTTCCTCAATTTTTTATTTTGAGAGTTTTTCAACCATAGAAAAGTTGAAATTATTAACCTATATACCCTAAACCTAGTTTGAACAATTTGCAGTTTTTTTTCATATTTGCATCCTTTCTCTCAATACACATTCCTATACACCTGAACACACATGCTTTAACTTTAAACTATTTGTTCCCTAACAGTTTAGAAGCATGATTTTTTGGAGGCTTCATCCCTAAACTCTTTGGCATGCATCTATCTGCTTCAAGGACGTTCTCCTACATGATCACGATACCATCATCACACTAATAAAACTTAACATGGATAGAATAGTGTTGTGTTTAGCTGTTGTTCCTTATGTAACAAGCCATGTCAGTACTTCTTGGGTTAAAATGGCAATAGTGTGTTTTGTCTCATGATTCTGTTCCATAGTTGGGTGATTTTCTTCCCTTTACCTGGTTTCGCTTCTGGTCCTCATCTTAGCAGGTCAGAGGGCTAGGGCTCACTCAGCTGGGGTCAAAAAGATTCCTTCTTAAATTTGACTGGCTTTTTTTTTTTTTTTTTTGGTTTGATTCCTTCTGTAATAATCTTATTTTTCTAAAGCCTCAACAATGACTTGATCACAGTCTATGATAACTATTCCTCTGCAATATCTTTTAGAAGCATCATAATGCATGAAGGCAGCTGGGGGATATCTCACACCCGTGTGCCAACTGAATCTCGGCCAGGTCATGTAGCCCTGATAGCTGGGTTTTATGAAGATGTTAGTGCAGTTGCCAAAGGTATGGTCTACTTAGATGATTTTATCATATGAAAAATTTATTGCATAAATACTTCTTCTTTCATACTGAATCATGACACAAAGTGTAGTGTGTCTTGTGATACTTCTGATAAGTGTTTTAGCATGCCTTACCCCTGGAAAAGTTTACACACTGGTATTGATTTAAGAATTAAGCTTCAGTCTTTTACCATTTTGTGTTATTGATTGAGTGGATCCATGGTTTTCTTACATGTCCAAAGTTCCAAAGTGAGTCTTATTTCAGTAAGAAGTAAATTATTTATTGTGAGGTTTTTGAAAGAAATTGTGACAAAATACATGTAACATAAAATACATGTAACATAAAGTCAATTATTAGTTTTGAGCTGTTCTGCAACTAATTCCCATTGTTATTAAAAGTACTTCTTCAGGGGCCACTTCCCCATATATCTATTTTACTCTTGTTATTGCTTCCTTTTTTTTCTCAATGACGTGAAGGATGGAAGGAAAATCCTGTAGAATTTGATTCTCTTTTTAATGAAAGCAAGTACACATGGAGCTGGGGGAGCCCAGATATCTTGACTATGTTTGCCAAAGGTAAGAGTCATTGATTATGTTTCATCAGAGAGTAAAAAGGCAAGAAATTAATATGGTAGTTTTTTATATATTACTTATTCATTATATTGATTTTGAGATACATGTTTTCATACATTCAGCATCTCTGAAACAGGGATGTGTGTTAACAATGGCTAGGCATACCAGCTTTTCTGTATTTGATTTTTCTATATAAGTTGTACTTGAAATGTTGGGATGTACACTTATTAGTATCTTGGATTTGATGCAGTGGTTTATGGCGCTAACATTTAACAGCTTTATAATGTTGGACAAGTTAGATAATATCTCTGAACTTCAGTTATCCTTTTTTGTAAAATGTAATAATAGTAACTTATTACTTCTATATCAAAGACTTGTTTTTAGGATTAAATTAGATACTTCATGTGAAACATTTGGCAACATGCTTATCACATAACTCTTCAGGATGTTGATGTTTAGTACATTTGATAAATTATTAAGGCATTAGTAGATACATAAAGATTAATGTTAAAGCTTGTAGCTGTACTTCTATCTTTACAACTTAATTCACATCTTTTGGGTTTGTTGTTTGTGTCTGTGCATGAGTTTTCTTCAAGTATTAGAACATCTCTTGATTGGAAAATTCCTTTATGTTATTTTATAGAGTCAGCGGATCCCTTTTGAATTTTATGTCATGAAATGGTTTTTAATGGGAGCAGAATGGCCATTTCACTTCATGATGCATTTGCAGTATTATTCTTAGCCATGGGTATAATTTACATAATTGTAATTGTAATTATTGTAATTATATCATGAAAGTGTAATATATACTTAGAATTTTATGTATGCTAGTAGAACATTATTATGTATGGCAGGCTGCAAAAACCTCCAACTGCTTGCCATTTATGTACATTTTTCTTAGGAGGTAGTTTAGTGTTGAGGGTGACTGGTGGTGTAGTGAGGGTAGATTAAGCTGATCACAGTTGATAGAACAGGACCAATGCCTGAATCAGAGACAGTCAGTAGGAATGGTAACCAATAAACCCAGTCAGATCTTTACTTAGGATTTGGGAAGTAGAATGACTAAGCAGTAGAATAGTGTCATTAGGCTGAACTGGTGAGAGATTATTATTGCTTTGTTATAGTCTTCCTTATAACCGTAAGAACCCATTTAACTATTTAACTCAAAAATCATTAAACTATAGATTCTTAATAAAATCTTACAAATGTATAATTAATATATTTGTTGATCCCTCAAATTATTTGGCAGTAACATTATATAATCCCTTGTATTAAGAAAAATATATACCCTATGAATAAAAGAAGTGAAATATTTGAATTTTCTTCTTGCTTTAGGAAGTTTTGTCAACCACTTATTTTAGATTATAAAATCCTAAAATGCACATAGTTTTTGAATAGTTTAATTTTTACAGGGAGCTGGACTTTGCTGTTATTTTATGCTGTTGTGTCTTAGCATTGTGATTTTGGCAAGTTAATTAACTTACATGTAGTGTGCAAAATTGGAATATTTTATTTTGAGAACAAAAAAGCAGCAGCATCTGTTAAATATTAATCATCTACCCATCTTTCTCTTCCCCATTGTACGTTGTGAAAAATTCTGTTTACTCACAAAAAATCTTTAAAACACTAGCTCAGATAGCTCTCCTGCCCGCCTGTGACTGCCTTTTCCTAATAAACCTGTCATTTTAAAATATAAAGGAAAAGAAAAGAAAAAAAGAACTAGTTCATATTTTTAACAGTTTAAAAGGTTGTTAATGTTCCCCTCCACACACCCCCCCAATTTCCTTTTCAGGTGCTAGTGGAGACCACGTATTTGCACATACGTATGACTCTGAAAATGAGGATTTTGGTGCCCAAGATGCATCAAAGCTGGACACCTGGGTTTTTGATAGAGTTAAGGTACGTACTATTGAGTGGAATTAGTCTACAGCGCACACATTTGTACCTGAAGTTGTAGAAATGGTTTTGTTATTAAATGCATCTTAGTTTTTTTTTCCTCCTTGCTTGAACTTGAAAGTTCTGTGTTATAGCACATTTTATTAAAAGACTGGATTCTATATTTCACATCTTTTGTCAAAAGACCACCTATCTGAAAGGTAATAGCTATCTATTTCCTCAATGAGTATTTCCTTGCTTATCAGATCTTTTGTCCATTTACGAATGAATTATAATTTTTGCATAGCTGAGTATTTTTTATCAAATGGAACAAATTACAGATTTAACTCAAGCTTGGTTGCTAAGTTTTATTGTTTCTTTCTTTCTTTTTTTTTTTTTCTTTTTTCTAGCTTTCAATTATATCTTTGGAATTTAACTGTTCTCTTGCAGAAACTACCATAAGACTTTTGTCGGAAATTTAAATATCTCTTGCTAAAATTAATGTCTTAGAGATGTTTATGTGAACGATAATTCTATGTCTTGACCTAGCCTGTTGACTTATTTAAAATAAATTAATAGTAGTTTCCATAGGTACTTGCTTACATGTTCATGTATATGTTAGTACAAAGTGAATGCTTTCTTTCAGAAGAGGTTTACCATTCCAGTTTTCATTTGGAATTAATATAAACATTTTGGAAACAGATTTCATTGAGTGAACATTTTTCAACCACGCAGCATGAAGAACAGAATCTAGCCTTGGGGTAAAGGAAGTAGCTATGAGACTATTTGCAATCTTCCGAGTGAAAGATTATGGTTGTATGAGGGTGGCAACAGACAGGACAATTAGTGCAGCTCTGAAAACATTTATAAGTGATAATAAAGCATTCCTAAGCTGTTGCCTCTAGTACTCTTTTGTTTTGGACTCTTGTTAAATATTTCTTCAGTCTGCTGTATTAGTATTTTTTTTAATTGCGGTAACATTGGTTTACATTATTGTTGGGATTTTGGAAGGATAGGATTCCCCTTCAGATATTGCCACTGTAGTGAGATATAGGGTGGTTAATGTTATGAAATCAAGATTTCCAAACTTTTTTTTGGCCTAATTATAAGATAGAGAATCGTTCCTTGTTATTTGAACACAGATAGATGTCTGAGCTAACAAGAACTTTGTTTTGATATGTCCTGAGGTCAAATTTAAACAAAACAAGATTATTTAATGTTAGTGTTAATGTACGAATTTCATGAATGTGTTCAGAATTATTTTTTAAATAAAATATATGAACTAAATCTTTTCCACTGATTTGTTACGTATAGGAATTCTTTCATGCTGCCAGAAACAACCAGTCTTTGTTTTCTCAAGTAAATGAAGACAAAATAGTTTTTTTCTTACATTTATTAGGAGTAGATACAAATGGACATGCTCACCGACCATCATCTAGGTAATTTTAACAGTGTGCTTACTTTTATGTTTTTGAGGGTATCAGCTATAATGTTTCAACTTTTAAAGTGTTATGATGTTTTCTTTGTAATTAACAGCAGAAATTATATTTTAATTAATTCTAAAGCAGAATACAGTCTCAATTATGTGAGCTATAGTATGATATATTGGATAAAATTCCCTGTGTTGGTCACCTTGCACATTAATATAAGTAAAGTATTTCTTGTACTTATATTCCATATTCCAGGGTTGGGAGGGAAAATGGTATGTATTTTAGAAATATTTCAGGTAATTTTTAAAAGCATTTTATGGTGATCCTATATCACCATAAGGCCTAATTTGCTATTCCTTGTGTTTCACCTAATCAATATTATATCTAGCAAATAAATGTATACAGTTTTATATGTTATGTTTCCCCTTCATTCCTTATGCAGAAGAGCATATATTTCTCTCACTTTTGCAGACCATAAAAAGGAGGAAGTATACACGTTACGCTTCTGTTCTTTACTTCAAATTTGGTTTAGATTAGTCTGACTGTAACTGGGAAGCCAACAGTTAGCTACCAGTAATGAATGCCTCACGCTTGTCTTTTACATGATGCACTTTAAATAATAGAATTCATGCCAAACCAACCTAGTTCAACTGTATGGAAAACTAAATACATTGTATTATATTGTGTTATGCTAATTATATCTTATATCACAAACACTCTAGGTGATGAAAATATTCTTTACTTGGAACAGGGATGTAGCAAGAACATGTTTTGTATTATGTGGGAGGTAAACTTGAAAGTCACCATTATCACATTTAAGACTTACAAGAGCATTCATTAAATTTTCCTAATCAATCCTTCCTTTTAAAACCATTTCTGAAAACTTTCAGATTTTTTTGCTTCTTTAAAAGGAAAAAATTAATTTTAACAATCTCTAAAAAGCTTTGATTTTAAGATATTGAAATATAAAGATATTTCAGGAATTATTGACTTTGAATATAATGAGCTCATATCGGATAAATTTTCCAAGTTAATGTAATTTACTCTTTTTTTTTATTTCTTTTTAAATAGGGAATATGAAGACAATATTAAGACAGTTGATGAGGGAATAAAAGAAATTGTGTCTGTGTTTAACCATTTTTATGGAAATGATGGAAAAACGGCATTTATCTTTACTGCCGATCATGGAATGACAGACTGGGGTAAGTGTGTCCTTAAGTAATGTATAGTTTCTGATTAAGGTAGTGGTAAATGCAGCTTGCAGATATACTGTTGAAGAGGATTAGGTGTCTCAGTATATGTATAATACCTAGCACATAATATTGCATACTTCAAATGTTAATATTTATGAGAAAGATTTTTTTATACAAAGAATCTTCTAGCTGTAAAAGAAATATATTTTCATATAAAAGGAGAAACTACAGAAAAGTGTGGGAAAGAAAACAAAAGTACCTATTTACCTAGAGTTAACTATGCATGATGGCAAAAGGGCGAGTTGTTCGTGTTCTTTTACTGAGAGTCCTAGGGTTACTGAAAATGCCGCCTGCATGAGCCAGTCCTCGCTGAGAGATTCCCAGGGTAAATACAACATGTGCACAGAGAAAAAAGATGAAGATGAGGTTTGGGTCTCCCAGTCACAACGTAGAATTCTACTTAGCTGGTACCACTCTTGGAAGGAATTTTGGTTCTCCAGGCAGAGTAGCCTGAAAGAAGGAAGTGTGGAGGCTCTGGCGTCCTTTCCCGAGCAGACCTGGTCCCCGCTGCTGCCCCACACTGGAGGACCACTTCTCAAGGGGTGCTCCCTGTTCCTTCTGCCTTGGGTTCTACTCTGGTGCCATCACCTCCAAGTCTTATTGGTATTCTTTCAGCCAGTCAGTAGACATTCCACTTTTTGATTTTGTTTGATACTTGACTTGCTTTGAGAATGTTTTAAAACTAATTGTATACAGAGTTGCAAGCAATAAATATTTAGGTATAAATCAGTTCTTAGGTACTTTGTACTGTCTTATCATTCTTGTTGTCTTGTAGGTTCCCATGGGGCTGGTCATCCTTCAGAGACTTTGACTCCTTTAGTTACCTGGGGAGCTGGAATTAGGTATCCCCAAAAAGTATCAGCTCAGCAATTTGATGATGCATTTTTGAAAGGTATAAACATTCATTTTTATTGTTTTTACAAATGTAACATGTAAAAACCAGAAGCAAAGTTTAATATAAAAAAACCTTTTTCAAGTTGTGTTCACTTTGATATTTGTGTCATTATTGTTTTTATTACTTTTTTTTTTCAAGATTTATTTATTTATGCATATATGAACTGGGGTACAGGCCAGAGGTGTGGGGGGTGAAAGGATTCACCAGAGACAGAGTGGGAAGCAGAACAGGCAGATCTACTGAAATACACTGCTCAGGGCAGCAGCAGGTGAGACAGGAGAGGTCTGCTGCGCCATGTGGGTCACCTCCCTGGCCAGGGATCGAACTTGTGCTGCAGTGGCTGCAGATAGAGTCATAGGATGTGTCTTAACTGCTTGCGCCACCAGGGAGGCCCCTGTTTCTATTACTTTTGTATAATTTCGTATCATTTGGTTTATAACATTCAGTTTGAAATTTACAGCCTCACTTACCTTATGAAAGTGTAAACTACATATAGTATTGCTTTTTGTAAAGTCTTAATGTTACTGGGATTTAGATGAAACCCGAGTCAAATCTTAACCTATGATGACTATGAGTCAAACAAATCACACATATGTCACAACTGATGTTTCACAACAGGACAGATTTTGTCCTATCTAGAATTTTGGAAGACTGAGTGTTGCCCAAACCTCATTTGCTTCTCACTCTATGAAGAAAAGGAATTCTTTTTTTTCTTGGCATTCTGAGTATTTTGTAAGGTAAAGGTTTTTTTTTTGAGTTTTCACCAGTTGGACAAAATTCCTCTCAAATGCCTTACTCCAAATTAGCTTTTATCCAAACACTTATTAAAGATATAAATGTAAAAAAATACAGATTTCCATGCCTTAGCACTAGCTATTTGATTTTGTGAATCTGAGTGAGGTCCCAAATTTATCTTTTTAAAACTTCCAGGGATTCTGAACTCATAGCCCTGATTAGGTATTCCTACCATAGGAGACTTTTTTTTTTTTTTTAAGATTTATTTATTTATTTATACAAGCACTGGGTACAGTCAGAAGCGCGGGAGGGTGAGAGAACTCACCAGAGCCAGAGCGGGGAACAGAGCAGGCAGACCGATGAAATACACTGCTGAGGGGAGAAGCGGACGGCAGGAGAGGTCTGCGCGCCACGTGGGACCCTTGCCCAGTGGCTGGGGATCGAACTGGTGCTGCAGAGGCTGCTGCTGCGCCACAAGGGAGGCCCAGGGGAGACATTTTTTTTAAATGATACATGTGTCTTGCAACAATTTTTTTAAATCTTTTTTTAAAATTTATTCATTTATATTTGCATAGAAGAACTGGAATGTATGCCAGAGGTGCAGGGTTGGGGGGGTGGTGGTGGTGTGTGTGTGAGAGGATTCACTAGAGACAGAGTGGGGTGCAGAACTAGCAGATTGACTGAAATACACTGTTGAGGGGAGCAGTGGATGAGACAGGAGTGGTCTTCTGTGCCATGTGGGTCAGCTCCTTGGCTGGTGATCGAACTCAGGCCATAGTGGTGATAGCACAAAGACTTAACCCTGACACCACCAGAGAGTCTCCCTGTCGGAGACTCTTTTTTTGGCTTGTATAATAACATTTCCTTAGATTTTTTTTCCAGATTCTTTTTAATTGAGATATAATTCTTACACCAGAAAATTTATGTTTTAAATGTACAATTTAGTGATTTTTAGTGTATTCACAAGGTTGTGCAATTGCCGGTACTATCAGGGTATGCTTTACAGAGCATTTCATTACCTAAAAAATACTCCTTACCCATTTTCCATTAAGCACTGATCAATCAAAATAATGAGGTGCTTCATTCTGTTTTAAATCTTAACATCAGTTCTTGCTTTGCATCTTTCAGAATGGAAGTTGGAGAACTGGAAGAGGCAAGATGTCAATCAGGTATTCATTTTAATGAAGTCCAAATTTAATCTTATCTCCTATAAGAGGTCTAGATCAAAAAACCAAACAAACTGGAAATATATATTGATAATAATGATGTGAGGATTTTTTAAAACATTTCAGTTACCAAAGGAAATGATCTTAGTACAAATATTTAAACCAATTAATTATTTTTACAAAATATAAAAAGCCGCAAGTAAAACTAAAAGGAGAAGACTCCCTATAAATAACACTGGCTAATGAAATAATTAAGTAAATTGAAATCTGCATGCCTGTTAAAATTCTGGGATTTCTTGTCATCGTTGCCTTGCTTAATTGCATTAGGTGCAAATCTAATAAAATCTCACGATAGGTTTCTTTCTGACCATTTCTTTTTCATTAACACATATTTTATCTTTAATTCTACTCCATATCCTTATAAATACAGTTGGAAAAAAGTGACAAGAATATACACTACTCAGCCAGAAGCTTTATGTTATAGCAAAATATATTACCAACCTAATCAGTTAGACTAATAACTTCATCTGTAAAATGAGGCTGTGTAAACAGCCATCTGCACTATTTTTAGAAGGCTTGATATCATTGGTAGGTAGCTTCCAAAGTGGTAGAAATATCGTACCTTCCCCAGGTCACCTCACAAGTTGACCTTCTTTACTGTGGTGGGTAAACCAAGGTCGAGAATCTCATTTTCAGGCCTGTGATTGCAGAAGCATGTTCTTTCTTAGCATGTGAAGAATGTCAGGATGGATGTGTACTACCTGTGTAATGAAAATATATAAAATCAGAATAGCAGCTTATTAATTTGCTATAAAAATCACTGTAAAAGAGATAGGAATAACTTGAAGATCATAAAACAAGACCATGTTTTTCTTATAACTAAAACTGAATATAAATTCAGCTCTTGCTCTTTGAATATTCCCACTTCAGATCTATATTAGATGAGAATTGATTTATTTCTTCCTTCCATTAACATTGCTATATGTCTACAGTGTGTTTATTTATTTATTTTTTTTTTAAAGATTTATTTATTTATTGTATTTATTTATACAAGCACTGGGTACAGTCAGAAGCAAGGGAGGGTGAGAGAATTCACCAGAGCCAGAGCGGGGAACAGAACAGGCAGACTGACGAAGTACACTGCTGAGGGGAGCAGCGGGCGGCAGGAGAGGTCTGCGCGCCATACGGGACCCTCCTCTGGTGGCCGGGGAGCAGCCGGGGATCGAACCGGCGCTGCATAGGCTGCGGGCAGCTTCGCAACCCAGTTCTCAACCGCTGCGCCACCGGGGAGGCCCTCTACAGTGTGTTTAAACATTGTATAAACATAACATTAAAATAATATTAAACACTCTGTAAAGGATATAATGTGAATAAAAGCAGACACAGTCTCTGTCCTGGAAGCTATAATTTAGGGTGAGAACAAATACTAATCAAATTATTATATAAATAGATGTAACTATTTACATATATAAATAGTTATCATGTAACTATGATAATACTACAGAAGAGGCCTGTGGAGCCAGAGAGAGCAGAGAGTGGATGCATTAGATAGACTAGTCAGCAAAGGCTTCCTGAGAAATGGAGGGCTGGGCTGAGATTGAAGAGTAAAGTTACCAAGCCAAGGCAATAGGAGAAAGGCTTTTCAGGTACAGGGAGCAAAATGTGCACAGCTGGTATATATGTCAACTTTTAAGGATTTTGAGGGAAACTGGTGTACAGAGCAACAGAGACTGGTGTGATATGAGGCACTCACTCTTGCAGGGCATTATGGGCATTCTGGACTTATTCTTGGGGAAGCCCTTAAAGTGTTCGAAGCCTGGAGAGTGACATGATCTTTTATTTATTGTGAACGGATTTCTCTGGATGCACAATGGAGAACAGACTAGAGAAGGTCAACAGTAGACTCCAGGGGAAGGAGAGAAGGTGATTAGGAGGTCTTTGGGGTTTTCCAGTTTTCCCTGGCATAGTACTTACCAAGGATCCAGATGGTAAGATGTATGAAGGATTGAGAACTGGGACCAAGCTCCAACTTTAAATGGGGGAGACTAGAGAAAATACCTGGAAAGCAGCCTCATAGTAAGAATACTCTCAGTTGAGTGTGGTGTCACAGAGGCACGAGGGAGTGGGCCACACAGTTCTCTGCGAGGCCCACTGAGCAGCCACAGCAGCGCTTGGTAGCCACTGGTCCTGGCAGGATTAGCACGCGCCAGGTACTTTTTAGCCACTGAAATCTCACTTAATCCTGCTGTAACTCCGTAAGGGGGAAATTTTTGTTTATTTTTTAACTGATAAGGAAACTGAAGCATTGAAGAGGTTAATAACCTGCCCAAGGTCTCAGAAATTGCTGGCAAGGATTTGAAACTGGCATTCTGATATCCAAGCACTTTGCTGCTTGAAAAAATTATTAGGACTGAGAAAGCTGTCAATGAGGTTTAGGAAAATGAAAGATACTATCTTAGTGAAAGCCGTCTGTGGGGTGGCAAAGGGTCAAGTTCAAGTGGGCTGAGGGGCAATGGGGAGAGGAGAAATGGAGGTGGGGGGAAGGGCGCAGGGAGGGGCTGGGACCAGAGAAGCGCCTGAGGGAGCTCCCCAAAGCAGAGGGGCAGGCAAAGCCCATTCCGGGCTGTGCTAGCCATGGGTGCCCCTCGGGCTGCACCCAGTCCAGGGAGCGGGGAGAAGCCAAGCCAACAAGAACAACTCTCCTGGAAAGATGAATTGATGGGGAGCCATCCAAAGCAGTATTTGGGGTCTTGTGTCTACAGAGCTTCTTGCCTGCTTTATATCTTTCTTTAATTAATATTTACATTTTTCTAGCTAAACCCTACCAGGGGCTGTTAGTGGCTGCTTTTCAAAAAAAAATTTTTTAATGAATTCATGTACCTGTTTTAAATGACATTTTTAGAGATCATTATCAATAAAGATTTGAAGAAAATGGATTATAATGAAGACCATGGTTAATTCCAAAATATATTTGCATGAAATTCTTTTGTGTATTTGTTGATGTCTGTAGACTTTGTAGAAATGAAGTTTTTTTGTTTGTAGGCTGACATTGCACCATTGATGGCTTCTCTTATCGGAATTGCCTTCCCCCTTAACTCAGTGGTAAGGAATACAGTTTTATTATCAGATCTCAGAATAAAAGATTCTCGTGCAGTAAATTTATTTTTATGTTTCTGAATAATCTTTGATTACATTTAAAACTATAATTCCTTATATACTTTGCAGCTATGTACTATATTGTGTATATATTATAATCTATAACATGGAACATAATAAGCCTAATAGTATTTCTTTATAATTTTTTTATTTTCTGAAATATACATAGATTCTTAGCTTTGCAGCTTACTTTTAAGTGATGAAGATGTGTAAATAACTTGTGATTGCAAGATATTGGTGGTTTGCTAAATCAAAGGCAGGAATCAGAGAACTCCAGAGACTCAGAAGAAGGAACCAAACCATGTTCTCACAGCTGGGCCTGCCTACTCAGGGTGCCAACACCAGGGAGAGTAACCGTACACTGTGTCTTGACTAAGAGTTGACTTCCAGCACATATATTGGAGTGGGGAGGGCAGGACCCCATCAGAGAATCCCTGTGCTGTGTTCAGTGGGGAGACTGAGGGCAATGCTGTTAAGAATGGGAACCTGGTACGGAGGAGTCAAAAAGCAAACAAATATCCTTCCCAGTGAGCCCTCTTTTCAACTGTTTAAATTAAACTTACTTAAAAAAAAAGTCATCTATTTTAGGACTTGAGCAAACAATGTGACGCTTATAGTTGTAAGTGTGTGTGTTTGTGTGTGTGTGTATAACTGAAACAAGTTTTATTAAACAATTTAAACTCATTTATACAGTATAATCTCATATTTTTTATTATATTTCTTTTTTTCTTTTTAAGTATGCTGGCTGTAACCCCCCATAGTGATTGTTTTGCATGCATAGAGCCATTGGTTCACAGCCCAGTACAGAGAAATCTTGAAATAAATATTAGGCTTATTGAACTTAATGAATCTCTTTGGCTTTATTTATTTTATTGTAACTACTTTTGTGAGAAAAGTAATAGAACATCTTTTATTTAAGATTTTAATAGAATTTTTAATGTAATCATTCCAGTAATCTATTTGTCCATATGACTTATCTTCCTTGTTTTTCCTTTGCAAGACTGTTTGTTTTAAAAGAATAATTGAGCTTTGTTAATACTAACATTAAGCCATTTTATTATTTCCAGGGAACCCTTCCTGTGAATTATCTTAACAACACTGATTTCTTCAAAGCAGAGAGCATGTTTACAAATGCAGTACAAATTCTTGAACAGTTCAAGGTAAAACAAGGCACACACAAAAATGGATATACGACAATTCAAAAATATCATGTGTTAAGTAAAAATATTTGATATTGTGTTTTAAGAAATGATTTTATACAATTTATTATCTTTGAATTTGGTATTTGACTAGTGTCATAAAGTTTTACATTTCTGAGGTGCAGTTTCCATGAAGCAGTTTGAGGATGAAGAATTATCTTTGAGGAATGTCCCTAGTTCTAAGACTACCTTATGTGCCAGTGAAGATACAAACCAAGTCTTTATTGATTAGAATTTGTCATAGAAGGAATAACAGACATTGCAACATTTCTTGTCATTCCATATTAATTTATATATTAAGAACTTAAAGAAGTGACTGAATCTTTTATTACTGCTGCTTCTGTTAATGCAGCTTGGTTTATTTTGTTTTCTAAGAGTTAAAGTAGTAAATTTTAATTACATTCAGTATGTTACTTTGCAAGCTTAATGTATGTTAATTACTTTCAGTGTGTTACTTTGCAAGCTTAATATACTTAACTCTCAACTTACTGTGAGAGAATGGTAATGGTTTTCTTTAAATATTTATGAAATAATATAGTATTACAAACTCCATTTATTTTCAAAGTAGTTAATCATCTCTGAAGAATCACTTTAGAGAGTAGATATTTTTATTTCAAAATAAAATTAACTTTTTCTTCTCATTTATAATATAATAAAATATGTTCATAATTGATTCCAGGTGAAAATGAATCAGAAAAAAGAAGTTACTTTACCATTTTTGTTTACACCATTTCAGTAAGTCTCTATTCTTTTTTTATTAACGTGTATGAAAAATTTTTAATGAGCTTGATGGTGACAGGATAGTTACATAGAAATTTGTCATTTTTGTGTACTTTTATGCAAACTCCAAATAGAAAGTCTCTTCTATTGTTTTTGTAAATAATGAACCAAATGCTAGATGCCTTTGAATGACTAGTAGGACAAATGGAGGGCAGAGAGCAATAATGAAAATACTGAGGAGATGAATTCAACAGGATTTGACGGGTCTGCTGAGAAGATGAGGGAACTCTTGACTTGGCTGATTGGGAAGATCCTGGTACATCAGGACTTTCAGAATGAAAGAAGAGCTGATTTGAGAGGCAAGGGTGATTGTTACTGAGTTCAACTTATGTTTTAAGTTATGAATTAATTGGTTGGAACTAGGAACTTGAATCTCAAGATAGAGATGAAGATTGGTTATGAAGATTTTGGAAACATCAACATAAAGATGGTGGTAGAAACTGGTTACACGTGTAGGAGGTTCTAGGAGAGTGTGGAAAGTGACAAGAAATGGCTAAAGATGAAATTTTGGGAAACACTGACAGTCTCTGGGTGGGCAGAGAGGAGTACTGCCTTTGGTGAGCAGCAGATTTTGCTGTCACAAATTCCAGAAAGATGTGGTTTCCTTGAATCAGGAACTAGTCACAAACCTGACTGTACATTGTGGCTTGGGCAGGTTTATGCAGCCTCCTGGGGCTTCATTCTGAATTAGTAACGATTTGTGTTTGATAAGGAAGAATTTTGCTCTTGGCCAAAATAAACAGAAATTGTTTGAAATATGAGTGTGAGGGATGTGATTGAGTGACTTTATTGAAATTATTTTTTCAACTTAGGTAGCATTGATATAGAAGACTTAAATATTGCATTGCCATCTGAAAAATGTGATTTTATGTGTGTATGTCTGAGTGTGTGTGTATCCAGGAGAGTAAAAACAAATTATTTTTTTTAGTCTTTTCTGGCATGAATTTTGCAAACTTTGATCATCTGAAATGAATTATCCTAACTGTTGTATTATAAATACACCAAAAGAAATTACCTTTGAGGAGTGTCACTATTTCTAAGATTGTAATATCTGGCTATAAAGAATATAAGCCAAGTTTTTATTGGTTGGGATTTGTCCCAGTTAATACCATATGTATATCATATCCATCTGTTTATGCTATTGTGGTATAGTCAGGCCATAACAAAATAAACAAATAAATGAACGAGAGATATATTATTGATTCATGATGTGCAGAAAATACCCAGGACAATGAAAGTGAATAAATGAGAGTAACTTTAGATCATCTTTAGAAAGCCTGGTCTGGCAAAAACTCTTCTACAAAGGGTTCAAGTACACACTGTCCACCTTCTTTCATTTGTCCTGTGGAGAAAACTAAAATTCTCCTTCAGGATGTAACAGAAGATATGAAAAAACATTGTATAGTAATGTTTAACATTGTAAAATTGTAATCCTTTCCAGATCACAACCTAAATATAGCATAATAGCCAAAGAATTTTAACTGTAACTCAAGATGATGATTCTAGTTTATATGGAAAAATAAATTTTCAAGACTAGTTTAACTGATATTAATGGTACTGAGAAAAAGACCAAGATAAAGAGATTTGCTCTACTGGATAGTAAAACACATTTTAAAGGAGTTTTAATTATACCAAATGTGCTATTGTTGAGCCTGTACATGTAGATTGAGAAACAGATTAAAGAATACAGAAACTGTAAGGGATTTTGATTATGATTAAAGATGACATTTTAAGTCAATGAAGGAAAGAATTATATTTGGAACATTAGGTATTCATTTGGAAAAATTATAGCTAGATCCCCTACCTCACCTCATTCACAGAACTAAACAGCACATTGATTAAAGTATTAAATATTTAAAAATAAGTGTAAGTGTTAAGGCTGTAATTAAGAAAATGTTAGTCACAGGAAAAAAGTGGATCATTTGATTACATCAAAATTAAATGCTTTCAAGGCCTCCCCAGTGGTGCAGTGGTTGAGCGCTGGGCTGCGAAGCTGCCCGCAGCCTCTGCAGCGCCGGTTCGATCCCCGGCCACCGGCGAGGTCCCACATGGTGCAACAGACCTCTCCTGCCATGCCCACTGCTCCCCTCAGCAGTGTACTTCCGTCCTTCTGCCTGTTCTGCTCCCCGCTCTGGCTCTGGTGAATTCTCTCACCTTCCTGTGCTTCTGACTGTACCCAGTGCTTGTATAGATAAATAAATAAATCTAAAAAAAAAAAAAAAAAGAAATTCTTTAAGGATCTGGTGGAGGTAAATTAAAAAAAAAATTAAATGCTTTCATTCAGTAAAATAAACCATGAAAGTAAAATAAGTACCGGATTAAGAGAAAATATTTATTAATTATGTAACAAGAATTATTTATAGATGCTATAAAGAGTCTTATATATCAATATTTAAAAATAGACAAATGATAACTGAAAATTCACAAAGATAAAAATGCAAATGGTTCATAAATTATGAAAAGATTTGCCTCACAAGCAATAGCTAACCAGCATTTACTGAGTGTTCAGTATTCACAAAGTACTGTTTTAAGTTCTTCACATGTATTAAATAAACCCCCCCCTTCCATAGTAAATAAATTATTTCTCAACACAATTGAGTAGCTATTTTTCCTGTTTTACAGATGAGGAAACTAATGTACAAGAAAGTTAAGTCAATTTCCTTAGATTTTAGCCTCTTAAGTAGCAGCACTGGGGTTTGAAACAGCCCAGCTCCAAAATCAGATGTACTCAGAGAAATACTTGCAGTATTATTCATCATTGTGGCAACAACTTCAGTGGTCACCTTAATGTTACGTTAAGGATTTAATGCCCATACGGTGAATTAGAATAAGGCATGTACTTCCATACTTATACAAACTTGAGAAAATTTGTACTATTGCTTGGTGAGTGAAAAGTATACACAACTATAATACAATAAGATATCATTAATATTAAAAATATAGATTGACACTACCAGTACATTCGACAGAGTGCTCTAGTGAAGATATTAAGACCTTATTAATTAATTGTTTGTACATTAAATTATATAAGACACCTAAACCAAGTGGGCTACTAAATTGAAAATTATTTCTGTCATTGGGGATCTCCAAATGAGTGGTTTAAATTGTGTTTAATTATTTTTAAAAGAGTATTTACTTTTACCCATAAAAAATTTATTTCTCCTTTCAGCTATTTAGAAATAATTATACTTGGAGGCATTGACTAAATTTTAGCTCTTGTTACAACAGTTTAATGTTCAGTATACCAGGAGAAACAATTATCACCATTTACCATCTGAGTATAATGGACTGTTTCATTTTTATTTCTCTAATCCAATGAATTTTTTTTCATTTTTATACCATCTCTTTTCTTTTAATCACAGTTATACATACATGTGAATTTTAGCATTTTCCATTAGAATTTATATCAAGTAAATATTGGCACATAAATATGTAAAAGGTGAAAGAATACTGTGTCACGTATCCTTTTTGCAAAACAGCCCAGATTCTTATAAACTATTGTGCAATGAAGTCTGTCTCTGTTGACTAAGTGCCATATTTCCTCTAGTGCTTAGAACTGCTTTGTTCACTCATAAGTTCTTAAATTGAGAAAATTTATCTTGTGAATATTGACATCTGAAAATTCATAGTCGAGATTTTACTTACATGATCCATTTTACCGACATCACTAGATCACAGTCTGTTTCTCTACCATTATTCCATTTTTTTCTTTAGTCTTTTCTAGCATGACTAACTGATGAATAATGAAATAATTCCTAGGGTGATGAAATAATGAATGTTTTGAGATAAAGGAAGAAGAATGCCAAGATCCTGCATAATCTTAGACTTGTAAAATTGTCTAGCTAATTGCATGCCCTGTTTTATCCTAACCTTTAAAATATAAGTAAATCTTATCTTTGATATTTTGAAAACATCTAAGAAATAGCAAAAATCATGAAATATCTCTTCTGATATTTCATGTTAGAATTGCTAAGAGGTAAAGCTAAAATTTGGTCCATTGGGCCCTGATAGTATGCCAAAGGATGACCAGCAGGTGGAGCTACATGACTAGGAGAAGCATAAATGGTTTGACTATATTGGAGAAAGTACATTACAGAGGATGAAAAACTCTGTATTTGAAAAGTGTATATTCTAGAAGCCAAAGAAAGTAAAGAGCCAATGAAATAGATTAAAAAAAGGTTTTTAAAGAGTCAGTTTAGGGAAAAATTGAAAGGAGATATACCTCTCCAAAAAAAAAAAAAAACCCAACAAAAAACTAAAACATCTGTTATTTTAAAATCACTATTTGAAGTCAGGTTAAACTTAAATTTTATAAAATATTTTAATCTATTTTATACTAAAATGACATACATATTTTGGTTCATTTTAGTGTATTGATTAGTTTAGTCTGGTATATATTAAAATTCCTCCCTTACATCAAATTTAAACACATATTTTAATGTGAATCTTTCTGCTACTTCACCTATCTGATATACTAATTACAAGAAATATAATTTACTGCTTTAGAACTGAAATTCTTCTTTTAAAAAAATAACATCACATATATATGCAGGAAAATATTTGTTTACTCAGTTATGACATGAACGATAAAATTCTACACCATTGATAAGTCTGAAGGAATGCAAATTATTCTAGAAGTAATTTTTTTATCCTGCTTTCCTTTTATTTATCTTGAAACATTTTCCCCTTTAATCTAAGTATATATTATAAAGTGAATGGCCTAGATATCACTAACTTTCTCTAAAATATGTGTAAATGCAAGTGAAATAGTCTTAAAATGAAAATCTGAATACAGTATTTCAGAGCTGCATTTTAAGGAGATTTTGTCCTCCAAAACACTAATTTACCCTGAATATTTGATGATAAAATTCTTTTTTTTTTTTTTAGCATTTTTTTTAAAGATTTATTTATTTATTTATACAAGCACTGGGTACAGTCAGAAGCGTGGGAGGGTG